TTCCTACCCTGCAGATAGTCTAGGTGATGACAGGGGAGGTCCCTACCCTGCAGATAGTCTAGGTGATGACAGGGTAGGTCCCTACCAAGTCGCCTTTTTCTCAGACAATTCCCACAAGGCTTTTTTTCTAAAAAAAACTTGACTGATCTTGTAACTGTAATAGGCCAGTGATTAATCCGTTGTATAATTACCATGAATCCCAATCCTGATAGGCAAGGGTAATTGATTACTATCCCATAGCATCTCACACTGAATGAATACTAAAACGTGATCTCGAAAGTAAGGACAGTCGGTTTGATGCTTATAATTCTTGAGTAGAATTTATGGACAGCAAAACAAGTAGATCTGAAACCACAATTCCTACTGTCGTATAGAAATATTTACCATTAAAAGCAACTATACAAGTTCTATCAACATAAATGCGAACAAACAACAAGTGCATGCTTCCACCAGATTCATCAGTAAACAAACGAAAATAAAACAGAACTACACAAATTAAAATACCCCATAATGGTTTGTTGCCTTTATATATATATATATATATATATATATATATATATATATATATATATATATATATTATTGTAGCGTTCCCCTTTTATATATATTTTTTCGTTCACCGTAAACCCCTGACTGATGCCTAGTTACTCGTCAATTTCTAGACGTTGGCTTTGTTCAGTGACCGACTCTCGCGAGTTTTCCGCGTACACCCGTTTTCAGATGTAGCATACAGTATGTTGGCTCCTTGCTTCTCTGGCAGATGCAATCCTACTTCGAAACAAATCCACTAATTAGTCGATCCGTAGGGCATAGAAAACAGGGAGTCTAATCCCCCAACCCTCCGTCAATGGCGCTTTCAGAACCCATGTGTTTATATATCACCTTTATTGTTTTCCAGCTGCTTTTTTTTCTTCTTCTAGAGTTATTCTTTTCAGAAGCGCGATGGTACTCCAATGTTATCTTCTATGTTTGTATTTTCAGGGACCTAGACTTATTTGGTTACATTTACCGTGTTGTCTTTGCAGTGGCTACATTTTCACCCAAGTTCCTTTTCTGGTCAAATTCTATGAATAAAATAAACGAACTAGAAATATCGTTGTTGCGGATCTTTCCCCAGGGTTCGTGTATCTGCAGTATATATATATATATATATATATATATATATATATATATATATATATATATATATATATATAAGTGTCTCTGTTGCTACAACTGTACACGATTGATAAAGAATTGCTGGAGAACCTCTTTGTGTAGCATCAGCGTGCACTTAATCATTGTATAAAGACTATAACTACAATAATAACGATGATTGTTATCGACAAACAGTCTAGTCTTGAGGTTTGATTTAAAGTCACATGAACAATTTGAAATCCAACAGTCTTTCTTAACGCAGATGTAAAATTAGTCATTGCACCTTGTGACAAATGGATAGATGGCAGTAAAAATACATGAGAGCATTGTGTCGGTATGCGAGTTTGTCCTTAACCCTTCAGAGTCCCCTGGCTAGAGTTTCAAGTGCTGCTGGCATGCGTGTCTACCGAACTGTGTCATTTGTCTGTCACGCTGCCACAGGCTCAAAGACTTGTTCATATCTCTAATGATTTTACTTCTTCGTCTTGTTTTTGCCTGATTCTTCGAGCCATTGATTTTACGATTACCTTAAACAAGTAACCAGTAACTCTTACCGAAATATCTCTATTTACTGTCAATTGTTTCATACAATTATGTTGCCATTCAAGTAAAATATACTCATCCTAATACAAATAATAATCACTTCTATCCTTCTAAATAATATTAAACTTTGTACAATTGCCAGCGGCAGAAACTGTAAAGCGCAAAAGAAGACCCTTAGAACTGGTTCAAGTACACTCCAATCTTGAATTGTCTTAGCTGATGATTTCGAACTATTGCCGTTTCTTCCATGGCGATCATCTATTTTCAATATCACCCACGGCTAGTTTCTTCCATGGCGATCATCTATTTTCAATATCACCCACGGCTAGTTTCTTCCATGGCGATCATCTATTTTCAATTTCACCTACGGCTAGTTTTTGTCGTTTCAAAGAAAACTGCCTTAAATGGCACTACGCAAGAGAAGTTTGGGCACAGGGCTATAAATTTATTGTCACTCAAATACTGGAGCAATGACAACGCTGGTAATACTAGGTACGCCTAAAAGACACACGGTTATTTCTTATTCTCTTTAAGTGAGTTTGCCATTCGTTCATAATTATAATAAATTCCCTTTCACTGTTTACGTGTTCTTGTACTTAGGATGCTTGCATTTATGTTTTTTTTACCTGTTACTTCCACTGGGGTGGGTCATCCATTCATCATTTATAACATTCTCGTCATCATCACCATCGTCATTTTCCTTTTGTGCCATGATATGTCACATAGGACTCGCAGTCTATTCGTTCATGTCATTGCATTCTACAAGTGTCTTCCTAAAGGTCTTGCTGAATAACAAAAAGGAAAAGGGTGGCGGGGGCCTCCTTGACTTTAATGTATACTAGTCATCATTAGTTGATTTACCCACTTGCGTAGGTGAACATGTTTCTCCTCTTCTTTCAACTTTCAACAGCATATATCAGTCCGTGTGTTGCCACTATTCCATGCCATGACAAAAGTACAAACTGTCTCTCTCTCTCCTTGCAGTCCTCTAATGCTGCAGTCATTCTAGTATCAGTGCTGACTATTCCCATACGAAGATTTGGGTATGATGTCTTCAGTTTGAAATCGACAATTGGATAGACCTACTCATCCAGCCTTAATTGCCAGGTCACATTCAGCGACGTAATACTCTACTATTTGTATGTAATCGTGAAGAAACAAATTCAGAGACTTCTGTCCGGCGTATGATTAGCACCTTTCTGTTTTACCAAATGTATTGTTATCTTGCGCATGGGATTCACATGCCATAGTCCTCCTCTGTATAGCACAAAGCCTAGGCAGTATTGTCAAGACTATATGTTGCCCATGCATCTTGATTTCTCACTCGACCTGCCTTGTTTACTATAAAAGAAAGGTAACATCAGTACGTTTGAAACAAAGCAGGCTGCAGAAGCTACTGGATCAGAAGAGTAATGCTCTCTCTGTCCATCTGTCGGAGCGTCGCCCCTAGACCAGCTGCCTGCGAAAGCTTAGGGCCTGGTCAACTCTGCCATAACATGGGGCTTTCATGTTACATTTCCTCTTCCTAGGATACGGCCAGTATCCTCCCCTATGCCCAACATTCCGCGTTAACAGAAGACAGTTAGTTCTGGTTACTATTGTAGGGTAACTTAGTCATATCTGACCCAGACCTAACCCCAGACGTATCATGCAGTTATATTAGTAAACCATGCGGTTAACAGGTAACCCGACGTCCAATGTTGGTGGTAATTTAAATAGTGCAGCTATGGGACAATATGACTACAAGCAGCAAACATGACAAAATTGATTAAAATGATAGAATAATGAAATATTAGGAGTTAATAAATATATATGCATTGTAAAGATACTTCATTTGTCATAGACCAATCAGCATCAAACTGACACCGCCCGCACTTACTTCCAATGAATTTACATGGTATCCATACTGGGTTCACTCGTTACCATATATAGATTGCTTCACATGTCTCCAGCGTCGTTTGGATATTTTCTGCAGTGAATGCAAGTATTTTGGGAAATGAACAGGCAGCTTTGGATATTTTCTCCAGTGAATTCACGTTATTTGGGAAATAAACAGGCAGACAGATTGGCTAATGCTGAAAGTAGGTGGTGATTTTGGTGCATGACCAGCTGAATATTTGGAGGCAATAGCATTGACGGGAGTGACTAGGGGATCTTGCGGACACTACACTCAAAAGAATGGCAAGACGTTCATAAAATCAAACTGCTACTGGTAACATCTAATTTAAAACTCAGCGCTGGCTGTAGATGATGAAGACAGAGTCCATACGAGAATGCCCTGAGCGTTGTGACCAGTTCAATGCGTGTATCTATTAAGTAATATACTAGAAGCGAAGCCTAAATGGAATGCCGTTTCAGAAGAAGGGGAGAGACACAATATGAATAATACTTTAAAAATCTACTCCTCAAACCTATCTCTACTCCAAGCCTACAAGAGCTCCACCAAGTATTGTCGCGCTGAGTGGGAGCCAGACTCACACTCAAGCTGCCTAAGTAACAAAGAACAAAAAACAAACAAAAAAAGGGAAAAGCTCGTCATGTGGAGACAAAGACCAGCGTGTTTTAGCCCTGGCAAAATGTGTTCTGTATGAAGCATGATAAACCGTGACTGTAAAACTCGGCACACTAACTACAAGTCCTAATCCAAATCAAAACTACTTAAACTATAATTATCACATTGAACATCTGTTCGTTTTACCTTACACAACGATTTATGTCCTCGAACAGAATATGTGCTACTTACTCCGCCAACACAGAAATCGGATAATGAACGCAAACGTTAAGAAAAATAACAATAGTGATAGCAAAAATCGAAACGTATTAACATGTACGTTAAGCTTCAACATACCACCAGATCAGAGAATCGCCTATAGCGACCTACAATCAAACTATCTATGAGCGAGGATACACATTGCTATCTAGGTCGAACACACACAATCTAATTACTGATGGGAATCTAGGTTTAGCACCGAAACTAACCATTTAGAAACATCCAAACCGTAAAGGAAACACTCCATCCCTCTCCACTCACCAGCCTGGCGTTGGGTTAACAGTCATGAACGACTGTGCGACGGCGATGCGTGGCTGGCAAGGTCGGAGGGCTGAAGCTCAAAAAGGTCTCTTCTGACAAGTCCCTGTATTCACTTCAGATCCCTGAAATTGCCAGAGTTTTTTGCTAAGTGCAGTCAAATTCGTGGCCGCCCGACTGGACGAGTGATGTCCTTTTGAAGTGAATCAAACAGACCCTGTTAAATCACAGTCACCCTAACATTTACAGTGTGTATTATTTTCAGGTGTTGTGTTATAATGGAACATCCAGCATGGCGATTTTATTGATAAAACACCAAGCTTCTACAGCAGAAGGACGTATTCTGGAACTATCCACGACAAGCAAAGTTATCCAGGATTCAATCCAGGACCCATTTAGTAACGAGGCCCGCGTCATCTTGCAATGGATTTTCTACTCACTTCTTGGGCAACTGCTAGCTATCTTTGGCTCGATAACCAATATCATCAACATCATCTGTTTTGTTAAGCAAGGATTCAAGGACCCAGTCAACATCAGTCTACTAGGTAATGTACTAAATACGTTTGTTTGAAATCTTCTTGCTGTAGAATAAATCTCTAAAGAAGCTAAAACCATTTTCATTTTACTATGTACATTTTGACTATGAGTTGAGTTGAGCCAAGAATTGACATCACAGCTCTCGGGGATTTCCTATGCATGCTACATCCTCATCTTCAGCAGCCAGCGCAGTGTTCAAATACTGACTATGTAACTCAGTGGTGCATCATTCCCTTGTGAGGTCTGGAACAACCACATGGTTGGCGGGAGGGGGGGGGGGAATGGACCCACTCTTCTTAATCAGCCTGCCATGAAAGTTTAACAAACTCTAGGTGTTGTCTTCGAAGACTGAGTTCATCCCCCCAGTGGCGATGAATCAACAGTCTGCATACAAAAAAAGCCAGATCTGTAAAATGGATGGGCACGCAAACTTCAAGTTCTGGTTTTTTCTTTTTTTTCTTTACTAAACTGTAAGAACACTAAGTAAGAATCTTGACAGCGGTCTCATCGACACACTACTCTAGGTTTCCTTGGGTCGTTCACTTCTTCTTTGTGTGTGTTGTGGCAAAGATGGGGAGGACATGATGTAAACTGCATGAGATTACATTATAGAGAAGTGCTAGAGAAATGCTACAGAAGCATTATCTCTAGAATGTTATCATCTTCTTCTTCAGTATTCCGAGCACTTAGGGTTCATTTCTGCCGATATCACCTGTCTCCATTCATCTCTCTGGTTGACATTATTTTTCCAGTTGGTGACACCGAGTGTTTGCAGGTCTGCCTGGACAGTATCTATCCATCGTCTTCTCGGTCTGTCTGGTGGTCAACGACCATTCATCTCCCTGGTGTATACAGTTTTTACCTCTCTGTCATCTGACATTCTTTCAATATGCCCCAACCATTTCAGTCTATTAGCTCGAAGGATGCCAATGATCAATGGTGATTTAAACAGTGTATGAAATATTTGTTGCTTCTTCCTCTCCAATCCCTGGTGTATGCATCTTTGATGGGTCCAAAGATTCGTCGTAAGACTATGTTTTCGAAAACCTGTAATAAGCCTGTATCTCTTTTAGCTGTGCTCTAAGTTTCAGAGCCAGATAAAACAACTGGTTTTATCAACGTTTTATATATTTTGATCTTGGTGTTGCGAGACAGACACTTTGACTTTAGCAAATGTTGAAGGGCATGGTATACTTTGTTTCAAGATTGTATTCTATATTGTATTTCTTTTCTCATCTTGCTCGAAAAGTTCCCACCTAAATACTTATTCTGGAACTTTATATCACTTAAAAATGTGTTTATCTCTCTATTATGTTAGGTATACACACCTATGTATGGTAATGTCTCCGTTATGTTATGTGTTCATACATATGTATGTTTATGTCTCCGTTATGTTATGTGTTCATACCTACGGATGTTTATGTCCTAAGAGTATGTGTACTTAGTAGGCGTAGCCTCATGTAAATAGAAAAGGAGTGGGGAAGGAGCGGATTCAAAGAAAAACATTGTAATGAGGAAATGATTAATTCGGTTTGATAACTGTGCGTCTGAATCTGACTTTTGCTATCATTTTCCAGGTCTGTCCATCTCTGATTTATGCTCTTTGCTAACGATTACATGGACAAACATCTGCTACAATCCGGCCTTCAGTGAACTTGACCTGTCCTTTGAACCCATAGAAATTCAGCTGCTAATTGGGACGTGGCCACATTTGACCTTTACTCACGTGACCGGCTGGATCACAGCTTTCATCACCCTGGAGAGATGCCTGTGCGTGACAATGCCACTAAAGGTAAAATGGATAAAGTTACTGTTATTAGCATAATTGTAGTCAATGCACTGTTGTGTACCAAATTATCTATCACTGACTTTATATCTTTTATAATGCGCTGAGTTATAGAGACTTTCAGATAAAAAAAGTCAGACTTTGAACAGCCTGTTGGAAATCGGTATAAACACAAAAACGAGCATCCAGAAACCCGTTCCGGGGGAAAGAAAGAAGATATGCCAGTCTGGGGAGCTGCGTGATCTCGAGGCACGATCTCCGCCTCCAGTGCTAGAGGTTCCGGATTCAATCTCAGTTAAGAGCTGGGATTCTTTTCACGTGGACTTGGACTTCTAGTAATTCCCCCTATTCTCTTGGTAGTGAGATCAGACACCTGTGTGCATTGTTGTGAACGTAAAAAAAATCCCTTGGCATTTGAAAATCAAAAAGAGTAGTCTAACGGCGCTCTCTGGGCAAAATTTGGAAATAAAAATCTTCCTAATGCATTTCAGGATCATCACTAGGACTACAGAGCCTGTGCATTGTTCTGAGCTTGTTCGGACTCAGATTGGAGTTACAAGAAGAACGGAGCACTTATGGGTTACTACCCGTGTGTCATGATGTTGATCCGTTGTTCGAATCTCAAACATGCCAGTCAGTTCCAACTGGGTACATTGAGCAGGCAGACACTGAGATGGCTGATGCAGATGAAGACAGAGCACGAAAGGGTCGGACCGATGTTGCTAGGATGTCGACACAGAAAACGAGTGAAAAGTAACACATCTTTTGCATAAATAATGTAGAAATTAAAAGCGTAGAATTAAAACCTAAGTTTATGTTTCAAACAAACCGGGCTTAGTTCGAAGTATGGATTTAACAATGAAATTTGTATAACATAGACGTGACTGGTACACCGCCCTCTTCCTAAACAACATACACGACTAGTTTTTACTTGTGCCACTAGTCTTCACGAACTTCTTCGCGAAAAAATTCGGAAACGCATGTGCCACTTGTATACGAGGACAATCTCTCGACGTTCGAAAGAAGCCCAGTCGTTCTGTCTGGGATCCATTTCTAAAATCATAAATCCGTCCAGTCTACACATGAAAACTCCAGCGTACGACAATACCATTTTACAGAATTAATTTTTTTTTTTAAAGAATAACAAAGGTGCAGGTACTCACTTCAAAGATGAAAAACAAAGATGTCGGTTGTCAACATAAAATGTCCAACAGCGGTAAAGCAATTATGCTCAATAAAAGGGTGCCCGTACTGCGTACTGTTGCGTACTGCCAGGAAAAAAAGAACATTTTTTTTTTTAATTTAAAAAGAAAAAAAGAACATGCTTATGACAGCTAAAGACCTCGGGTTATCTTGAGCAGTTCAGTAATGTCAAGTGTAAAAGTTAAAACTGTTTTTAACGTCAGTGGCACATCTGGCATGAGTTGCAAGAAAAGTGTTTCCCAACCATCTGTGTACCAACCTGAACTGAACTGAATTTCTACCCCACCAGGACATCACACAAGCGATAAACACCCGATGACACAAAGTGCCACCACGTGGATGAGGATCACCGTGGAGAGGTCCCAGAAACCGCGTTCAGACATTTGGCCATATAAATGGCCTGCCTATATTGCGGCCCCTGGCAAAAGCCAGAGTGGGGCTTCAAATGACAAAAAATTTCGTCCTAAAAAGGACGAAATTTGGTAATGTGTGTACCAACCTCCACATAAGCCTTCCTAAAATTATTATGCCCCTTCCCCCTTTGTGACAAACACTCTGGACAAGACCATTTTGGAATAGCCTACCCTCCTCTCCCCTCCCCCCCCCCCCCCCCACACCCCTTTTAACAATCAAATTGCTCCCCTAACAAATCACATTGCTCCCCTTACAAATCAAATTGCTCCCATTAATAATAAAATGTCCTCCATTAACAATCAGAATGCTCCACTTAACAATAAAATTGCCCCCCTTGACAATCAGATTGCTCCCCTTAACGCTCAAATTGCCTCCCTGTGGGGTTGTGGGCCCCACGTTGTGTAGTCTCATATTGTATCAACTAATCAACATTTGCTGGGTGATGTGGTCAACATCATGCCGGCCGCCTTTACTTTCCAATATATTTTCTGGTACTCCAGTTAGGATAGGTTAACCTGGAATTCGAGGTAATTTTGTTTTCAATCCCATCACGCGTAGAATGAAATTGGGCACTAAGTTACTGGGCTAGTCTGCCTTGGCTGATGAGGTAATAACATATCCTTTTTGAAAAGGGAAAGACAAAAAGAGGAGCTCTCGTGTGCAAGTAATGCTTTTTTTTTTAATATCCGACAATTAAAAATTACAAATGGGTGGATCAAAGTGCCACCACCATGACATCTTTATGGGACGTCACATTTACAGTGTTTTTGTTTTTTCCTCTTAACGTTCTCCAGCTGTAAACTCTGGCTGGTTCCTTAAATCGCAGGCAGGGGCACTTTAACTATAAAGAAAACATCAAAACTAAATCGCCTCCTAAGACATGTTTGTTAGAGGAGTACAATGATTATATTATCTACTTCACAATTGAGCCCCGAAAGCAACTCAGAGAATAGGTAGATATAACCAGTTCACTTTTGTGGAATATGTCTAGATCAAGAGAGCTTACAAAATACTTGCTTATGTCGGAACAAAAAAAGATCTTTGAGATGCACAGACAAGGAAACAAAATTGATAGGGGTGGGAATCGGTTTTGCAGGTATAACGCGTTTGTAATTTGTCTTATTTTTGTGTTCAGAAAATATTAATCTAAATGATAAATGTTGCCAACAACAAAATACTCTTGCTATAGGTGGGATGGAAAGATGAAAAACGGAACGAAACGTAGATCAGCGAGCTTCACAATATAACAAACACACAACAAAATATGAAAGTGTCGGCCACAGAGCCTTTATCAGCACATTCAAAAATCAAAGAAAACCACACAAACATACAAAATCACTTAACTGATGTATCCAGATGTAGACACGTTGATGTCTAGCCAGTGGAATCGGCTGTTATAGGCAGATCATCAGATTCTAATATACATTTTATGTAGTCTTCGTTAGTATGGCACATTTTTGCGCTGAACTGAGAATTGTTCAGTGTGATATAATGTAAGAGATTTGAGCAATAATGTTTATATTTCCGTCCGATGAAGAAGATTCTAGTATGAAAGAAGCAGCCAGTCACTTCATCCACCAATCAATGAAGTATTCGTTTAGATAG